TATATCAGTATATTGTTGTTGTTATTCATAGTAGTAGTGGTGGGGGTGATGGTTGTGGTGGTGGGGGGGGGGGTAGTAGCTTTCCATAATATCACTATCTTCTGCTGTTTGATGGTGATGATGATGATGTTGATGTTGATGATGATGAAGATCCTGCTGCTGCTGTTGTTGTTGCTGCTGCTGATGATGACGATTCTGGTACTACTATCGCTGCTACTGCTGCTGCTACTGCTGCTGTTGGTGCTGCTGCTGCTGCTCCTACAGCTGCTGCTGCTGTTGCTGCTGATGCTGCTGCTGCTACTGCTCCTACAGTTGCTGCTGCTGCTGCTGCTACTGCTCCTACACCTGCGGCCGCTGCTGCTGCAGTTGTTCTATCACCTATGCTTCGACTCGCACATCATGCTGGCAAGATGTCGAATTCCGACCTCAAACCTTGAACCTCCCTTCGTATGCGCAGGTACTGCAGGAGAAGTACGAGCACTTCATGGACGAACTGCGCAACCAGCAGCGCAACCTGGAGGTCGTCGTCGACTTCTCGAAGCAGCTGCGCGACGGCGGGCATCCGAACGCGGCGGTCATCTCGGACAGGACGGCGGAGCTGAACCAGCAGTGGTCTGACCTGAAGGAGCTGGCGCAGGCTAGGCACGAGGTATGGCCTCGAGAACTGTGGGTGGGGTGGGGGTCTAGACACGAGGTATGGCCTAGAAAACTGTGAGGGGGTGGAGTGGTGGTCTAGACACGAGGTATGGCCTAGAAAACTGAGGAGGTGAAGTGGTGGTCTAGACACGAGGTATGGCCTAGAAAACTGTGAGGGGGTGGAGTGGGGGTCTGGACATGAGGTATGGCCTAGATAATTAGGGGAGAGAGGGGTCTAGACACGAGGTATGGCCTCGAGAACTGCGGGTGGGGGTGGGGGTGGGGTAGTCTAGACACGAGGTATGGCCCTGAGAGCTGTGAGAGGGTAGGGTGGGGTGGTCTAGACACGAGGTATGTCCTCGAGAACTGTGGGTGGGGGTGGGGTAGTCTAGGCACGAAGTATGGCCTCGTAAACTGCGGGTGGGGGTGGGGTAATCTAGGCACGAGGTATGGCCTTGAGAACTGCGGGTGGGGGTGGGGTAGTCTAGGCACGAGGTATGGCCTGGAGAACTGTGGGTGGGGGTGGGGTAGTCTAGGCACGAGGTATGGCCTGGAGAACTAGATCATTTCTTGAATACAGATGCCAGTGCGAGAATAAAGTAACGCACGTACTCTGTGATCAATTAAATACAGAAAATGTGCACGCACAACACGTACTATGTAGAGGCAGTGAAGGCGTGAGTAGGTACTTGAGTACACCTACAGTGAGGGGGAGAAGTAAGGTACTAACGCTAACATCACGCTGCAGGCGTTGGAGGGTGCCAAGCAGGTGCACACGTTCGACCATGATACGGATGAGTTGGTTTCCTGGATACACGAGAAAGAGGCGATGCTCATCACAGAGGACTACGGCCAGGACCTTGATGCCGTGGAAGCTCTGGAGAGAAGACACTTGGCATTCGAGGTAAGGCGTATTACAGCGGTTCTTAACCTGGGGGTCGTAACCCCCATGGGGGTCGTTTGGGGTTTTTCCGGGGGTCATCAAGGGGTCATAAATGAAACAAATCCATTTAAATTCTATATAATTATCAGGGTGCTACAAAGTTTGATTCATGAATTTGGTTGCCCACAAGCCCAAAGCACTTGTCCGAATTTTTTTTTGATTGCCTGATGGCTGCTAAGCAATTTCAGCCATCCCATTGACTGAGTGTTGGCAGACATGTTTCCATAAATTGAGCTGTTTTTTTTTACATTTTTGTTTCGGGGGTAACGGTACTGACCAAGAATGTCTGATGGGGTCGTGGGGCCAAAAAGGTTAAGAACCACTGGCGTATTACAAAATTACCTCAGTATTATCTCAACGTGTACCTCCCCTCCACGGGTGTATAAAAATAGATGGAAAAGTAAGTACCTTTTATCACAATAAAGGCAAACTATAACAGTAGCAATAAAGAATAAACAGTAAATGTGATGCCGTATTTTCACCCAATTCTTATCACTTGTTTCCTTCACCTCCTTCTCTATCTTCTGAAAAATGAAGTACCCTTCATCACAATAACCGCAAAGTATAACAATAACAATAATAGTAATTAGTAATAAAATAAACACGATGCTGTGTTTTCGCCTCCTTTGCATCTCGTTTCGATCGCTGGATTTTGTTATGACGTCTCGTGATTCGACACAAGGGTGCATCGGCAAGGCTGCATCTAGTGTCTCGCGTCCACATTTCTTTCAAAATCAAATTGTCATATATGTCTTCCGTGATTGCGAGTTTGTGTTTTGCAGCCTTCCTGATTGTGTCGATCACTCGCAATTTTGCTGGTTTATTTATCAATTATGTTAATTAATTTTTATTAATAATTAGTTCATTATCATGCATCATAATAACTCATAATTTTTATTGTAATTAATCACTTTTTTTTTTTTACCATCAATCATTTCATTATCATTTATTATAATTTTTATATAATTAATCACATTATTTATATTTTTACCACTAATCATTTTATTATCATTTATTATCATTTTTACTATAATTAATTAGCCTTTTAATAATACTGTAATTGATCACCACTCATTAACGCTTCTTCCCGTCACGCGTCCCCCCCCCCTGCAGCAAGACCTTCACGCCGTCGGCGAGCAGGTGGACAGCGTGAAGCAGACGGCAGCGAGGCTCGGCGGGGAGTTTCCGGACGCGGCCGAGCACATCCGCAGCAAGCAGGAGGAAGCCGGAGATGCGTGGAGCGCCCTGCTCGCTCAGACCGAGCAGAAGAAGAGCAAGCTCGTCGAGTCCGAGAACCTGCAGTCGTACTTCAGCGACTTCCGCGAGCTCATGTACGCGATTAATTAGATGCGATCGTTAATTTATTAATTTATTAATTGATTAAGCGCGCCGGCGGTGATTAGTCGCGTTGGGTTATTAATTACGGTTACGTTACTGGATTTTGGCTAATGAGTGACATTGATCGGGTGTGGATGAACGATTAGTGGCTAATAAGCGATGTTGTTCATTAAGGGCTAATGAGTGATGTTGTTCGTTAAGGGAGTGAATTAACGATCTGTAGCTAATGTGTAATGTTGTCTGTTAAGGGCGTGGATTAACGATTAGCGTCGAACGAGTGACGTTGTTCATTAAGGGTGTGGATTAACGATTAGCGTCTAACATGTGACGTTCCTTAAGGGCGTGGATTAACGATTAGTGGCTAATAAACTGTTCATCAAGGGCTAACGAGTGACGTTGTTTGTTAAGGGCATGGATTAACGATCAGTGGCTAATAAGTGTTGTTTGTTAAGGGCTAATGAGTGACGTTCATTAAGTGCGTGGATTAACAATCAGTGACTAACGAGTGACGTTGTTTGTTAAGGGCGTGGATTAACGAGATGATGGCGATCATCACTTCGGATGAGCTCGCTCGCGACGTCCCCGGCGCCGAGGCCCTCATCGAGAAACACAAGGAGCACCGGGCGGCCATCGACATGAAGATGGGCGCCTTCGAGAAGTTCACGCGCTCGGGCGAGGACCTGATTGCGCGCGGACACTTCCTGTCAGACGACATCCGGGATAAGATCCAGAAGCTGGACGGCGCGCGAGACCAGCTGCTGGACACGTGGCGGCAGCGGTCAGTTCTGTACGACCAGAACCTAGACGCACAGGTAAGCACAGGGAGATGGTAAACTGACCGGTAAACTAGTGTTTAGTGAGAGATGTCAGGGGTTCAGATAAGGTGCGTGTTAGCGTATTTACGCTTCCCGACTTAGAAGTTTAGTCAAACTATGCAGCATTAAACCTTGTGTAAAACGTCTAATACCTCGCGTCTTACTCTGACCCTGTCTCATGCCCCGCGTCTCACTCTGACCCTGTCTCATGCCCCGCGTCTCACTCTGACCCTGTCTCATGTTTCGCATCTCACTCTAACCCTGTCTCATGCCTCGCATCTCACTCTGACCCTGTCTCATGTCTCGCGTCTCACTGCCCTTGTCTCATGTGCATCGTGTCTCACTCTGACCCTGTCTCATGCCTCGCGTCTCACTTTCACCCTGTCTCATGCCCCGTGTCTCACTCTGACCTTGTCTCATGCCCCGTGTCTCACTCTGACCTTGTCTCATGCCCCGCCTCTCACTCTGACCCTGTCTCGTGCACCGCGTCTCACTCTGACCCTGTCTCGTGCACCGCGTCTCACTCTGACCCGTCTCATGCCTCACGTCTCACTCTGACCCTGTCTCATATGCCTCGCGTCTCACTCCCGGGGTCACGCCCCAAAACCGTCGTAATCTCTCGGCCGCACGTGACCGTGGAGCGTTCAGGCGCGCTGGGTGACTCTGACCCTGTTTCATGTCTCGCGTCTCGACTGCGCACAACCGCAGCGATGGCTCAATGGTAGAGTGCTCGCCTCGCATGTGGAAGGTCGGGGGTTCAACTCCCGGCCGGGTCATATACCAAAGACTTGAAAAGTGGTACACACGGCTTCTCTGCTTGGCATTCAGCAAATAGAGATAGAGTGTGGCAAGTTAACTCACAGTGCTACCAGTGGACTAACCCCCTACTGTAGCATTTACTGTGAAAGCAGCTGCGGGGCCTCTGGGTTACTGAAACGGATATGGGCACCGCCCTATGCGCCACATAGGCGCGGGAAGGATTTAACTTATCTTGACCCTGTCTCATGTCTCGCGTCTCGACTGCGCAGATGTTCAAGCGAGATGCCGAGGCTCTGCAGTCGTGGCTGCGCGCGCGCGAGCCTGTCCTGCGAGACGCCAACTATGGACAGTCGGTGAAGGAGGTCGACGAACTCATACAGCGGCACGAGGACTTTGAGAAGACGGTCGAGTCGCAGCGGGATCGCTTCCAGGCGCTCAACAGGGAGACACTGGTGGGTGTGTGTGTGTGTGTGTGTGTGTGTGTGGTGGTGTGTGTGTGTGTGTGTGTGTGTGTGTGTGGTGTGTGGTGTGTGTGTCACACACACCACACACACACACACACACACACACACACACACACACACACACACACACACACACACACACACACATGTGTGTGTGTGTGTTTGTGTGTGTAATTGGTATACGCGTTGGTTCGGCCAGCATACCCGCAGATGATCATCTAGGGGCCGTAGTGGGAAACAAAATTAACATTTTTAATATTAGTCTTAACATTGAACTTTTTCTCATAGACCGTTGACAGTCACATGGTAAACTTACGAGTTTATCACACGCAGTGTATAGAGTCCCGGTCTATGAGAATGAGTTAAAGGGACCCTGACTATGAATTAAAGGGACCCTGACATATTATTTTGTCAACCGACTCGCGCACCCGTGCAGTGAGGTGCGAGGATCGCGCCTCGTGCAGTGAGGAGTGAGCGGTCTAGAGGTGTAACACGTAATACTGGCGGATCTAGGTGTGAGGGCATTAGGGCCATGCACTCCCCGGCTCCGGTCCTAGAATACACACCATAATGCTCCAAACCTTTGATTTTACCTATACTGTTACCCAAAATTAGGGCAATTAGGCAAGGCCAGAAATTCCCGTCGGCTGCACTAATATACACCTGTCAGTCGGACCCCGCTGAGGGAGCCTACAGGCGCTACCCCAATACTTCCTCGTTGATGCCCCACACCGGTGGTCCATTCACGGATTCAGCATGTCGCAGTGTGAAAGACGCTATGCGCGTTTATCGCGCCGTAGTCAATATTTTATTATGCGATGTAAACACAATTATCACCTCCCGCTGTTAGCGTACGCGTGTGTTACTCTCCGTACGTCACAGCAGTGACAGCTGATAAGACACGAGTAGCTGAAACACCGTTCTAAACGCTGTAATAGAGGGCGCTTATTGTACACTGCATGTCATCACGGGGAAGGTGACGGTGACGATGACGATTACGATTATGATAGCGATGACGATGACGGTGACGATGACGATTACGATCAAAATCATTGTATCGATCGATAATATAAACACCTATTGCATATTTTTTTAAATATCGGTTTCCGGTTTTAATTCCGAACTCTCTATACTATCTATATACTATCTATATACTATCTATATATATATGTCTATATACGAGTCTAGATATTTTCATGTTAATATGTATACGTGATAGCATACTTGTTCTTTATCATCAAAAGCACATCAACTGTGCTTATGTTCTTGGGTGCAACAGTTAGTGTGTGCTCTTGCTATCCTTACGTCGATGCTGTTTGGTTGTAGTTTGGCATGTGGCAGACGCGCGACGCAGACGCGCTGTGCCGTCGATGTGTGAATGCTATCGCACTCGTCGCCCTAGCGCTGTCTGCATTCACGAAGCCCTCCCGTGTGTGTGTGCGCGCGTGTCTACTGTTTCATGAACTCCGGCGAACTGCCGATTGTCGCACCACACGTATATATATAT